GCGGCGTTAAAACAGCAGTTAACAAAACATCAAGTCAAAACAAGTGTTATGATTGCCCTTATAATGATGGTACTACTATTTTACATTTTCAAAGTGTACTGCGCCATGAGTACTTTAGAGGCACAATTATAATAATACACTTAGAAAGAGAAATTCGTGTGAAATCTTTTGAATGTTCACGCGTTCTAGAAAGGTTAGAAGATACACTTAATGACGGGAATTGCTAGAGTTTGAAATTCTGCACCCGACGCTGGATGCTGCCCATGGGGTGCGTGAACTTCTCCCCGAATTCCCACGGCAAGCGGCAAAGGTCACGCGGCGGCTACCATATCCTTGCACTGAGAACTCAAACGTTTTCCTTCAGCGCGCAATCGGGTGCGGCGAACGCGATGTTTTCGGGGAGGGGACATCGGACCCTCAGTTACCTTTACAGTTCGCCATTAGCACCGTAATGTCGATGGTTGAGTAGTCAGCAAACGTCTGAGCGAGAGCATCCTTTCCCATCAAGTCCACATAGGGAATCGACGAACAATCTGAAATTACTTTTTTGCATGTTATAGCATTTCACCATTAATTTTATGCCAACAAATATCTTTATAAAGTGACTGTTTCTATAAGAAAAAAATCGGTGCGCAGTATGTCCCTACCGATAATAATGTGTGTCAACTGGGTGACAACATGCTCAGTTGGATCCTCGATCATGGAATCGCCAGACGTCTCGGCCACCCGACGACCAACAACACGTAGCTCTGCAAGGTTTGCCTTTAATTCTTTTTGTTTCGACACCTACGACCTACGACTCCCGAGTTTATCAATGGAAGGAGGTAGTTGACATTGTTCGGATTCAAGGACATTTCTAGTATCAATTTTTTACTACCTATGCATACTCGCAAAAAGAAACGGCTTATTCGGGGCCGTAAGGTATGCTCCCCCGAACAGGGAAGGGTCCCCTTCCCGGTAAGATATGCTCTCGGGGAGAGCTTTCGGGGAGAGGCCACGCCCCCTGGTTCGAGGGGAGAACTTTCCGAATAACGCGCGATCAGGGCTACCCGGGGCTACCGTAACTATTGACCGCGGAGTGCGGAACTGTTTTTGTCGAGCGCGCAATTTTCTGTGGCTTACGCAACCCCCTGCTGAACAAATTTTGGTTTTCATGCTTTTGCCGGCATCCTTTGTAATTATTGTTCTTCCGCGGCGCAATGTGGCTGGGGG